ATTAATCTTAAACTGGATGCTTGTCTTCTCATTACTTTCAAGAGGTGAATGGTTCTGCACTATCTACCATCAATTTATTTTAAACATATAAAATACTCAAAGATTTTCTTTTTGTTTGAGATTTAATGTCTGACAGGTTTTAATGTGTAATTCATATGGAAATTGTACTGACTATCATCAAGTAAGTTCATAGAGAAGTTAACTCCCTTTGTAAATGCACATCGTTTATTTGCAGTCTTTAATTTCTTGTTTTGTGTTTTAAATACAATTTGTATTGTCATTATTTTTTGGTGTTTCCTCTCGACAATCAAAGCCCTAAATTCACTGAGTCTACATTCCATTGATATGGTAAATCACGCCTCTGCTCCAAATAGGTTACCATTTCTATGGAACTTAGAGTCAGTGAATTCAGGGCTATGATTGGTCGAGAAGTAAAGATTGTCCTCTAAATTCAATGGAAGAATTTTACACAAGGTAGATTTAAACGAATAGTTTTATGTCGGAGTGACATAGCACGTCTGTGAATTTTAAAATTAACTCATGAGGTCTTTCCACCTTTCTGTGGAAAGACCTCTTGAATGCTTCTGTTTTTTATTATTTTATTTATTATTTTATTTCTCACCTGATGTTTTGACATCGTAAGACTTATCGAAAAACTTTATAGTTCATGATACTGGATATTTAAAGTTATTCCAAAAAATGACCCCCCCATGTTTTAACTTAGACCCCTTATGCAGTTATTGCCCCTTTCATCGTAAAGCTTGTTATCGCTACTCCTCTGAAACCGTACATCGTAGAGATGCAGAACCTTCACTGACGTCTTCAACTAATTTAGGAGACTTTTCCATCTATTCATTGCAAAAGTTTTCTTTGACCCCTTCAATGAGTAAACCCCTGAAAGTTTATAAATTTTATAAAAAACTAAAAATTTTCACAATGAGAAGTCGTAGAAACATGAAACCAACTGCATAAGTTTTTTTGACCTTTGACCTTCAAATTCATTTCAAGCTTAAAGGTCAAGGTCATCCCAAATATGAGGAATAAATTTCTTTTAATAGCTCTTTTATCCTTAAACATATACTATCTATCATCTGATTGTGATATGCACCTCTTTATACTCTTTCAAAGATTTCATTCTTGTCCCCTAAGATTACCCTTTGTGCAAAAAACCTTGTTATTGCTACTTCTCGGAAACCATAGACCGTAGAGACACCAAATCTTCACTAACGTCTTAAGGGTCTTCAGGCCTAACTTCATTGTATAAGTACCAAAGGATCTGATGACCCCTCATATGAATTATTGCCCTCTAACGTTTTTGTACTTGCTATTAAACCTTATAACTTGAGAAGTATGTCATAGAGGCATGGGGTCAACTGCATTATGACCCTTGACCTTGAAAATTTTTAAAGGTCAAGGTCATTTCAAATTTTTTTTTTTAAATTTTGATTTATCCTTTTAAGACAATTTTGATTGCTTAAATTCATGGAATTTAATTTTAAGGAGTCAGATAAAACGAAATTAGACTTCAAAGAAGGAGAAAAGACCTCTTATTGTTCGTTGAACAATAAGTCTCCTAGTTCTTTAAACTACTCGTGTGAGCTAAAGAAAAAGACAAGCACAGATAGCTAAGGAACAAACAACGGTATTTATTCCCTATATATACCAGAATTGTCTTGGAAAGGGATCCTAACTTATTTATAAAAAACCATCCTAACTCTAATATCATAAATTGCTGGCTTGATCAGTACGTGCTTAATGAAACCTTTCATGACGTGTACCTTGAGGTTTGCATAAAATCAGAGACAATCAGCCATGAGGCTGTTTATTCGTTGTTGTCCGTCGCAAAAGTGATCATTTACAATCATAATAAAAGATATAAAACAATGATACTCTGTATAATTAAAATGTTAATGTAAGATACTGCCACAAATAAGAACATGTGTTAATTAAACTTCATCTGATAAACACACAATTCATTACAGGTATTATAACATGTCTACTGAATATCTTCATTATAAAAATAAATGAGTTAAAATAAAAATATATAATTTAAAATTTCAATTGGGAGAATTAGTTTGTAAAACATTCACTTGGCTATGAGAGGGATATAAAAGGAATCTCCAAAAATAGAAAATTCACATGTTATTGTTTACATTGAATCTACTTCCGGTATAGAGACTGACTTCCAGTCATACAATCAAAGTACTGAAAGTACTGAGAAGCGCTAGTAGTATAAACTGTCTGGCCGGCCGAGTCAACTGAGTGCACTTTTGGGGCTGTGGGGGATAGGCGGTTCAACTGAGTGCATCCCCTGTGGGGGATAGGCGGGTCAAGGGAGTGCAGCCCCTGTGGGGGATAGGCGGGTCAAGGGAGTGCAGCCCCTGTGGGGATAAGTGGGTCAATTCAGTACATATAGTCGGCCCTAATTACGGGGGGGTGTGTTTACACTGTGTTTACATTATACTATATACGCTGCTACTACGATTTTGGCAGCGATTCAAAAGAATGTGATTATGACGTCACGCTTTCATTCACAGTCTAGACGGTCTAGCCAGCCAGCCGGTTCAAACTGGATTTCCTCAAAACAATAACAAATAACTCACAATAACAAAAGAAGACAGCAATTTTATTCAGAATGAAAATACATCAATTTACTTCTTCTTCTTCTGTGCCTTATCGGTCATCAGGGATAGTTTTCTCTTCTGTGTAGTACTGGGGCCTGGAATCTCTCTGTTGTCTTCCTTTTTCTCTTTTTTGTCTCCTACTTTCACTAAAGGTTTGGTCTGGTGGGTCCCTGAAATCTTGGGTTCTTGAGGCTTTTTCTCCAGTTTTTGTATTTCTTTGACAAATTGTTGATCCTCCTCATTCTCTTTACACTGATTAGCCCAATGCCCAAATTTCCCGCACTTGTAACACAAATCTTTCTTGGGGCAATCTGGGGCCCAATGCCCTATTTCTTTGCAGATGAAGCATGGATCCGTCTGTCTAGTTTTCTTTTTTTCTCCCGATTCCCCTTGTCCTTTTTTCTGGTAAGTGCTTCCTCCTCCTCTCATTTTATCTTGCATGTTAGTAACTTTCACTTCTAATTTGGATAATTTAGCACGAATCAAAAAAATTCACTGGCGTTGTAAGTTTTCAGATCAGTCAGCTTGTTTTCATGATCACCCACCTTCTCAGCAATATATTTCAGCTTGTTGTCATGATGTCGCACCTTCTCACCAATATAATTCAGCTTGTTGTTAAGATCATTCATCTTGTTGTCAAGAGCAGACAGCATGTTAACAATTCCATCCAGAGTTGTATTTAGGATCCCCATATCTTCTTTATTCGCATATTCTGGAAGATTATACATGCCCAAATCTAATCCCACTGCATCCTGTGACTCTGGCATGGGGGGTCCTACATACCCTTCAGGTGTCACATAGCTGGGGTTGTCTGGGGTATTCATCATTGCTTCTGTCATAATATTTTTTTTCACGTCTGTCAAGTTCGAAATGCCAAGCAAGAATGATCGTCAAATCCCAGCTCCGCTTTATATACCTGCTGTGGGGGGCGGGGCGTGTGCACGTTTTACCTACGTTTTTTATGCTGACTACACAGGTAAAATACTTGGCAGCGATTCAAGTCAGCGGCCCGTGTGCAAAACATACGATAGACCTACGTTTTTATGCTGACTACACAGGTAAATTCTTGGCAACGATTCAAGTCAGGGGGGCCGTGTGCACCTTTGACCTACCTTTTTATACCTGTTGCATCACCTGTGAGGGGGCCGTGTGCAAAAATACGATAGGCCTACGTTTTATACTGGTGGGGTATAAATGAGAACAAAATTCTGATCCTTTCTTCACAATCGACTATCATGTCAACCCTGATACACACTCACTCTCTGATTCTAGATGGGTATGATTGTTTAGTACGATGGGCACAAAATCACCAAGAATCTCTACCCCCGGAGGCAGAACAAGTATTTCAGGAAGCCAGCACTATCATGGAAACCCCTCAGGATTTATGGTTACAATGCCTAGCCTTATCACATCATGCGACGACCATGGGGAGACTAGCTACCATACATTTTCTATGTCGACATATGAAAACAATTCTGCCCCAGAAATGGTACGGACTGAACCTGACCCGTTATTTCGGAAAGCCTTACAGTTTCCTGACCCATCCCCAAGCGGGCAAAGTGATTTTACTGTGGCAGGACATAGATGCGATGGAGAAAGTATGTATTCAATACGGAATGAAATACCTGGAAATTTCACACAGGCTAGGAAATCCGTGACTTTTAATACCAGCCTCAATCAAATCTACGAATTACCCCCCGAAGACCGGAGAAATCCCTGGATGGCCCTAGTAGCGGATCGAATACGATTTCGGAGGAGAATTCGACAGTTAGAAGCATTGTTAGTTTTTAAGAAATAAAATAAAAATCTTGTAATACTACATCAGTGTTATGTTATTGTATGACGTCATATATACATTCGGGTTCGGCCTTTCCCCCTTCAATTTTGCTTTCTCACTGTGGTGGGCGTGTTTACCAAGTGGTATGATTTTTTTTAGCCAATCACATTTGATCACATGATTAGATTTTCCATGTTTCGCACGTGCTATTTGACTATCGTCTGCTATTGTAAATAAATACAAACCCTCCGAGCGCTCAGTGTCATTCCTTCGTAGCTGTTTTGCCAGTAAAGAAAGAAGAAGAAGCAGAAGAAGAAGAAAGAAGAAAAGATGTCAGGAAGTGGCAATTTCTTTTACGAGGACCTCTACCTCATTCCTGGTATTGTTTTTGAAAATGTCTTGATCCTGAGAAGGCTTGATAATGGCAGAGAACTCGTCAGAATTAACTTGGCCAGATTCCAGGTGAATGACAGGCAACGACGGAGGCCCCACCCTTACAGGAGGGAAGCACCCCGTTCGCCGGCGCCACCCCCACCACAACCTGCTGTCCCTACCCGCCAGACCCAGGCCCGAAACCAGGGCCGAGTGCCGTCCTGGGGATTAAGAGTTTCTACTAGAGGTATTTTTTGTAGTCTATGCATGTCCGACGACGAGCCAAGTAATTTCGTTTGTGGGCGGTGTCTGCAAAGACCCGCTTGTATCTTATGTGCGGCCCGCATCGTAGAGAGGAGTTTGGTATGCCCCCTATGTAGGAATTCTGAGGCAATGGTGGTACCCTTCACCATAAGGTCAGGGACGGACAGGGACCAGAGTTCCGACGACGAGGATGACAACGTCAGCCAGATGGTGCAGCAGTTGCTGTCCAATTAAAAAGAGTAAGCGAACGCCCTCACTTGATCCCAAAACTTGAAGAAAAAACCCCCCAAAAAATTACAAAACCAAAAAAAAACAAACCAAAAAGTGTTTTGTACCAAACAGCCCTTTTAAGGGCTACCCAATTGTTTCGAAAAGATGCCTTCATAAGCATTCAAAAGAGAAACGTATTGTGTGTGTGTCTTAGAAAAAAAAAAGATTTTCTTTTTTTTTCTAAAATACAGTCAAAGAAACGATTGTATCTTAGAAAAAAGAGGATCTTTTTTATACAGTCAAAGAAAAAGAAACGTTTGTGTGTGTGTTCAAAAAGAGTACCTTCTACAGTCAAAAAAAAAACAAGAAACATTGTGTTTCTCTCAAGTTATAACACCAGGTCACTTTTTAAAAAATTTTTATGTGTTCAAGTACGACTTAATTTTCTATGTAAATTAGGCCGCCATGATGAATCTCCGCAAGATTTTACCCCAGTGAAAAAGGCTTGTAATCCACCCTGTAGGTCGTTTAAAGTTGTTTCACATTGTTTATGATTGTGATTATGTTATCACTCACCTATATGTTTAATGTCAGCTATGCTAAATAACCCATTTCTGTGTAATTTGAGATAATGTTTTGTCATGTGCTTAAAGTATGGCCTGCTATTCATGTCATCATTTAAAGTCGATCCTAAATAAATCTGTCTTTTAAAAAAATACATTTTTTACAATATGATTAGAGTATAGGTATCCATATATATAAGAGATTTTATTTTGCATTACATTTATAAGAGGCATTGTCTCATGTAATTTAAATCATAATAACAAAATGGGTTTTTATTTTTCTATACAGTCCTCATCCTGGAAGATATGTTTTTGTTCCTAACCATCTATAATCCATTCTCTATGAAGTGAAGCGTGCTGGCTGCTGGTCTTCCTTTGGAAAATACACAGTGAATCAATTATGATAAAAACAAAACTTGAATCTAAAAAAAGTTTTCAATGAGATATCATTTTAATTTATTTAATTATTATTATTAAGATAATTATTTAAAATGTTTTATATTTTTTAAAATGGATAAAAAAAAATAAAATCTGAAAATGGAAATCAATATCATAAAGATAGCAAGTTTTGATTCCAATTACTGATGAATTTCTGAATTTTCCATTAACTATTTGACATTATATCACAGGGGAAAAAGAAAAAAAAACTACTTGAGTTTTTCTACTGACCCTCCCAAGAGATCTGCTTATGAGTACATGGGGATGCAGTGAACCTTCTCTCCTGTTTTCAACAGACTTTAGAGTATAACAGATAAAAAGGTACTTTTTCTTCATTTATTTTTACATCACATGAAAACAAACAATTAATGATGATGATGAAGAATGTACACATGTTTTTCATAAGTGTGTACAAATTGTTCAATATAATGTCTATAATGAATCCAATTTCCTTGGGCTAGTCCACAGCCAATCTTGTAAGGAAAAGCATAAGTCTGGTAAGGTAAACTTTCCCCCATTTCTTGTAAACAAGTTTGAAACCATTCCTCTCTGTTTTGTGGGGTATCCTGATAAGTGGTAATTCTTTTAGGTCGGTGACTTGCTTTTCCATAATCCCATTGAGCTAGTAAACAAATGACTACAGGGGTTTGTGAGGGAAACACCTTAATAGTGCCTGGAATTCCTCTATCTTCTTCTACGGCTAAATTTCTAGTCCCTAGAGGTCTGCGAGTGGCATAGAGATTAGCTTGTGGGAATTTCTCTGCCAGACTTTGACTCAATCCATGAGCTTTTACAGTTAAACAATTACATTGATGAACAACAGCTTCTACCTCACAGTTGAGTAAATCACCTTGTATCTCCTGGAGACTCATGATGTAAAATGAATCTATTTTTTAAATCACCCTTGTTTTTATAGATCAACAACAACACAATAAAACAAGATTTTTTTTTATTCAGGTAAATCTACAATCTCTTGGAACTAATTCTTTGTTTCTCACATCAGGTTTTAGAACTCCATATTCTTCATAGTCACCTTGTCTATAAAAAGTTCTTTCCAATTCTGGGGTGCTGTAAGACATCTCAAAACAGGTTAATTTATGAATCTTTCTGTACAGATATATCCCTCCAACTCTGTTTTTCATTTGAATGAATCCTCTCACATGATGAAGTTTTCCAGTTTCTGGATGCCTTTCTTTTTGTAAGATCAAGTATTGATAATTACTTCCAATGATTTGATCTACATCTTCCTGTCGGCACCCGGGTAAAATGAATATCCAATTATTGGCTATTCTATCTCTGTCTTGTTTTATGTAAGCAATATATCCATTGCCTGTATTTTCTTTCTGTTTGTTTTGATAATGAGCCTTAATATCCTCCAAGAGTTTGTTGTTTGGTCTTCTGTTTTCTTTTTCCTCCTCCTTCTGAGGTATAGATTCTACAGGATGTTCTTCCATCAAGGGAGGTGGTATAAATACTGCAGGATGTTCTACCATCAAGGGAGGTGGTATGATATCTTTTCCTCCCTCCTGTATAAGTAACCATTCAGTTTCCTTTAATCTAGTGTTCTGACTCATTTCTTTACTGGATGTGTTACCCATAATGAAGCCAGTCCACAACTGAGGTGTGTTTTATACCATGTTTACTATTTATACTGTTTTTTTAAAATTGTATCAATTTTTTCCCCCCTCAATTTTTAAAAAACCCTCAACCATTTTGTTTTGTGTTTTTTTTTTAAAATCTATGGTTAAAGGGAGATAACCTATTTTTAAAAAATGACAAAAAACCCACAATTTTTTTTTCCTTTTTATTGAGATCTA